TTCAATGCTGCTAGACAATGTTGTCGAACAGTCTAAATCAATATCAAGGTTTACCATCAGTTGGTGAATGTGTATAATATTTTATCTTTATTCATATTCATTGTCTTCCATTTGAAAGACACCGTCACCCTTTACCACACAAACCTCTCTGCAATGTCACAGCGACAGAAAACACATCTTTCTAACCCACATAAGGTAGCTTGAGGGATGTATGTGACAAAAAGAGACAAATAATGTTTCCCTTACAGTGTCTTGGGTCCAATATGGGTACATAAGTTATTGAAGGCTACTTACATCCCAATAGCACTGCTTTTTGCTATCACAAGGATACTGGACAGATATCGTTGAGTATGACGTGCTTGCAGTTGCAGTTAAGATGAATGTTGTGAGCTTTCTGGTACACTAAAATATGAGTCTGTCAAGGATGAAACACTACCAACGGTACAAGAGCAATCAACCAACAAGAGAACGTCACAGTAATACTTGGGTGAAAACACTTTTTTAATACAAGATTTCAACATACAGTGTCTAGTGGCATAAATAAAACAATGCTATTAAACACAGAAGAAGAAAAATGCATTTTCACCATGCATTATTTACTCAAGCATTCATACATACGTACAACCCTCTTTTCTAGGTTGTAAGTTCCCTGTGGTCAAGGACAATTGTCAGGCTTTTCCGACCGCTACCAGATGTAAACAAACAATCCTCTGCATTTAATCAGTCTATTTATCATCCCTCTATTTCCCCTCCTCCCTTCTTCCCCATGTGGTGACTTACAGAGAGGCATGTCAATTGAACGTCTGTCTGATGTATGGCAATGTGTTAAGCCAAGCCAAATATAATTTTCACTGTGCTGTAGTTCGGCAACCATTTTGTTTGTTTTTTTGCCGAACCAGAGGAGTCCCATTTGTATTGGGAAGGTGGTGGGGAAACAGGTATTTCAATAACAAAATGACATATAAATGAAGGACGAACACAGTACAGACTGCCCCTCTGAAACCCTTATTGTAAGTATTATAATCATCATCATCACTATTACTACTGCTACTATCATCGTCGTACTAATTCACTCATGAAAAACAAAAAATAAAAACGAAGACGACATATTCTCTACAGCAATCAAAATAATAATGTAGTAAAAATCTGCACCTTGCCAGAGCTAAGGAGGCTTTCAGTCAGTGCTGCTTGCTGTGTATGAATGCATGCATTTCTAAGGCTGATTTGATTTGACACACACACACACACGCCATTCCCTACATTTCAAATGGGCGGAGAAAAAAAAAAAAGGAAAGCTAATGAAAGAAAAATCAACAACACAAATGTATGATACACAAGACATGACCTTCTGTGGTCCGAGATGCCGTACCTAAACCGAAAGGCAGCTATCTGGAATTGTGGTCCGAGATGCCGTACCTAAACCGAAAGGCAGCTATCTGGAATTGTACAGAAGCTAATGGGATGGGGGGGGGCATTCCTCCATCGGTTTAAACAAAACATAAAAGGTTGATACAGCCTAACGTGTATCCCTCAGGACAGCTATCGTGTTCTAAATGAAAAGAACAATGTGTTTTTGTTGATTCCGTATCCTTTGCAATACCGTTGCTAATAACTGAAATGTAATGCTGAAATGTAACTGAAATATAGAAATGTAACCCGACAGATAAGATATTCTGTCAACAAGGCATTTGAACCAGTTATAGTGAATGACTGCTATTTAACTTTTTTTTTTTTTGCATCTTTGGTTTCTTCTCCGTTAAGCTTTCACGCAATCAGACCATCATCTCCTCCTGATTTGAGTCAAATGGGACTAAATCCAAACTTGAGAAACACACGTCACTAACACTTTCACTTACATCATGTACGATTTTAACACATCATGTACGCTTGAGTGTGTTACACGTACTCATCTTAAGTTAGGATTTGACTCAGTGTAACTAAGCCTGATTATTTGCTAGCCTAATGAACTGAGCGCAATGAGGAAATGACTACGCCACTTAAAATATATATATTTTTTAAAAGGCCTCAAAAAAAGGACATTGTCCTTGTAGCATCTACTTACCTATTGTACAATGAATCTCACTCAAACATGGATAACATCTTCTTCAATCTCAGTAACATATATATTTCTTATTAATCAACTAACAACCCTATTGGGATAGATTGTCTAGGACTATTTTTGCAGTTTCTTCCTTGTCAGAAATCAATAGAGCTGAAGTGACTAGATGATCTGTGGACACAGAGGCAGAGTGGGTGAGGGGGTGTCAGCAAGTTATTTACATATAACCAATAAGGTGAGGGGGTGTCAGCAAGTTATTTACATATAACCAATAAGGTGAGGGGGTGTCAGGAAGTTATTTACATATAACCAATAAACTACATCTGTATTTCATGGCGGTGAGTGTGATGGACACATTGAACTGAAAGGAGATTTACAACATGTTAACCTTTTTTAATAGTTCGACGTTCCAGATCCAAAATGTTTTCATTCTAGTCAGATTAATAATACCAGTTTTATTACAAGGAGACATAATTATTCACCAGTTACTGTGACAGGAATCAGGGTCTCAAATGTCTGACAGATTAGATAGATGGATACACGACTTACTGATACTGAAACCTCTATCGACGTAGACATATTGACTCATCAATACAAGAGGGAAGCATTAGAAAACCAATTATAACCGAAGCTCATCAATACAAAATACATCTCTATATTAATAATGTACGGCAGCATCCCAAGACACACCACCCTAATCCACTCTGTTATATGTATTGATGATTCATTCATTCCAATACTTTTAGGACTTGAATTTCAAAACGTGTGAAGAAGGAAGAATGATCTGGATAAAGATGGACGGAGGTCGGCTTACATGATAAATGCACACTCAAAAAGCAAAACTTGGCATCCGGCAAAAAACAAACTATGTACTGTAGGTACATCATCATTATTATGTGAGTAGTTCATCATCACTCATTTAACCTGCATTGACCACTCACCACCACCGGACAGCACCTTACATTATTGCAAAAAGGGTCACTTTCAAAGTCAAAACTCGTCAGCGAAGAACTTGAAAATTAAATAAAACGTGTGATTACATAAAATGGGTCATTCCGACTGTATAACAGGAAGTACATTTCAATGAGATAATATGCAATCAAAAACCAAAAAAAAAATCCCTTGAAAACAATGAGAAAAGGTATATAATGAAGAATCAATTCTCTACGCTAAGATTTTACAAATTGCAGTCAGTACACTATTCATGTATTTTTTCTTTTAAACAATTTGATGCTGTATCAAAAACTTTGTAAAAAAATTTGATAGAGATTTTATCAACCATTTTTTTTCAGTGTTTTCTAGTCATCTTGTTATTGGGACATTCCCATGTCTTTCTTTCTCGCCCTCTAACTTTCCTCCCCTCCTCTCAACAATTACCTTTGAGTTGTGAATAAATGTATCCCTTTCAGGACGTTCTCAATCACTCTCAACAGCACTAAACTGTTTCCCGCATAAAATGTGAAAACAAGAGCATCATCACTACATACAAAAATAATAACCCCTTGTCTAAAATAAACTGCAGGAGGCTTTTTCCAAATCTGATTTACACAAACGTTTTTTGAACTAAAAATACACTTCATATTATTTCAACAGGCCGATCCATCGTTATTTACAGAAGACACTTGTCGCATCACCATAAAGGCAAAATGGCATTCAAATTGTCAATGTTATGATCATATTCAGATAATGATTCTCAGTTTAACCCATTTTGAATAAGAATAATAAAAGGGGCTTTGTATTGTGTTTTTATTTCCCTCTTGAATGATTTTGGGTGGCTTCGGGAAACTCGGGCAAAGTAAAAACAATACATCTGGTAATAACCAGGCCAGGGTAACCATCTGGTAATAACCAGGCCAGGGTAACCATCTGGTAATAACCAGGCCAGGGTAACCATCTGGTAATAACCAGGCCAGGGTAACCATCTGGTAATAACCAGGCCAGGGTAACCATCTGGTAATAACCAGGCCAGGGTAACCATCTGGTAATAACCAGGCCAGGGTAACCATCTGGTAATAACCAGGCCAGGGTAACCAGGCCTACCTACTGGGTGTACCGTTCCTTTCTGATCGGGGGGAAAAATAGATCCTGCAGGCTATTTCAGTCAGGAGTTCTGCTCCACCACCACCAAAACAATTATATCTATCTATCTATCTATCTATCTATCTAACAGAACATCTTCCAGATATACAGTTTAAAAACAAAAATAATAAAACAAACAAAACAGAAAACTTTTTTTATACTAATTTCTAATTATTTTTTAGGCTAACTTTGTTATGCTCATCTAGACATTGTGTGAATAAGGGTAAAAACATACAATTAGTGTTAAAAGGCAAACCTTATTGAAACCAAACAGCCACCGCCACTGTGTTGTCTGGCTGTCTGCAGGGTTGTCCCAGATCAATATGATTACGTTGTGTTTATTTTCATTCATATAACTCTTCTCTCTCTCTATTAAAAATTTTTTTTGCCTGCAGTATGTTTGTTTATTGTCCTCTTGCATTATTCAAGATAAAAGAAGATTAAAAGGCAAGTAGTTTGATCTTAAAGTCAGTCAAAAACAGAAGAAAAACATAACCAAAGACACAAAATAAAACAAAAGGCCATTTAGTTTCAAAAGGAGAAAAAAAAGCGCTGGGACAGGAGGGGTGTGTCTTCCCAAACTAGCTGTTCATCTGTAGCCAATGAGACGACGAGAGACTGAATAGTGTCATTGTTGTGGTTACTGTTGCCGAGGCTACCACCTAGTTCTCCCTCCCTCCCATCTTTCAACTTCAACTCAGCCTTGATCAGATCAGCCCAAAACCCTCCCAACCCAAAATGTCCAAAGTTCATTACCACTTTGCAGAGGCTCTATTCTCCTCCTCCAAACAGACAACACTGGTGTGAGACGGTTACAAGTCCCCCTGCTTCCCCTCTCCTCCTCTGGAGGAGCCAGCTAACCTTAGGGGGGCACGTAGGGTGGTGGGGATCTGTAGGGGGTCATGTTCTTTGGACGAGAGCCTTTACCTTCCATGGGGACGGTGAAGGGGGGCGGGGGCTGGTAGGGGGGGGCGTTGGGGTCCTCGTCCCTCAGAGCCGTGTACTCCCCCAGAAGGTCCTGGTTCAGGGGGGTGGTCTCTGGACTGGCCATGTTGGGGTACTCCGGCGGGGGCAGTGGGGGTTTCTCCTCCTGCAGGATGAGGGGCATGGAGGAGGACGGAGGGGGCTTGGAGTCGTCAAGCTCGTCTGCAAAGATTATGGGCACCCCCTTCTTGATGAAGGTAGCCTGGTCCTCAATGGTCAGCTTGCCCTTGCGCTTCTTACGGTAGCAGATCATGGCGATGATGCCGGCGATCAGCAAGATAGCCGCCACCACCACTGCAGGGATGACCGTGTGGAGGTAGACGTCGTCGGTGCTCTGGCGTCCGGTACCCAGCGCCGGGGTGACGGCCGGGGGGATAGGAATGGTGATTTCCCCTGGCGGGACAAACATGTAATTCCGGCAGGCGGCCGTCCCTTTTACCTTGATGTCGATGGGTTTGAATTCAGGCTCCATGGTGGAGATGAAGGTCTGGGAGGGCCTTCCCTGGGCATCGGAGATCCTCCTGGACATGGTGTGGATCTGCTCCTTCGGGCATGGGTTCTGCTGGAGGCTGTTGTTGGTCCACTCCACCACGATGGACCCCTTGGTGATGTTCCTCAGGGTGACTGTGCTGCTGTTGCGGTCCCCGAACGAGTACGCCAGTTTCTTGATGAGCAGGATCTTCTTGTGGATGTCGTTGGTCACCTGGCGAGGTTCCCCGTGGAAGCGAGCTTGGAACAGGACCGGGGACTTATCGTTGGAAGCCCAGCGGTTCACACGGACCTCAATGGCGTCGATCGCATTCAGACCGCCCTTATCGGTGGCCTGCATGAAGTACTCGTGCTTCCCGACGTGGTTCGAGTCAGGTAGACCGTAGAGCAGCTGGCTTGTGCTATTAAACTGTATCCAGGAATTATCTCCGACCACTTCGTTGTGGTTCATCCTCAATGTCAACCTCAGCTTGTCTGTCGTACCGTCCTCCTTGTCAAAGAACGTATCGGATGGGAATTTTCACTTCAAAGTATGTGCCCACAAAGGCATTGACCTGATCAATGGGGTTGCGGAGATCTGGTTTCTCATTACTTGGGTCAGGCACGATGGACGAAGGAGTGGTGCGTCTGGCTGGTTTGGCAGTGGTGGTCTTGGGTTCCCTTGGCATCGGAGTGGTCTTCGGTCTCTTTGGTTTCTTGGTTGGCTTTCTGGTGGCGACTGTGGTGGGTGGAGGGAGTGTCGGTGTAGCTTCCACAACGGTATGCCTGGTCATCGTGGGTTGAATGGAGATGGTACTAGTGGACTCCATCACTCTGGTTGGCAGGGGTGCACCCTGAGTGGGAGTGTGGGCATAGGAGTCTCTGACACGGATCGTGGGCTTCATGGGCAAGGGCACAGGCCCTCTCATGGGTGGGGCAGAGCTGTCTGTGGGGGCAGCAATGGCAGGTGACGACAGGGTTGGTACAATGCGAACAGGGGGCTCGACGACAGACGTTGGGGGAGGCAAAGCTAGAACAGGAGTAGGGGTATTGTTGAGCTGGCGCCTCACCCGTTTTGGAATATGAGGCTTCTTGTTGGCGATGTGCCAACCGACGACCGGATATCCCAACTGAGCCGACATAGTGCCCTTTTTAGCTGGTGCCTGGACGCTGCTAATGTTAGGGACGTTACTCTGGTCCAGGGAACAGCCCAGCTTCCAGGATAACAGGGCTCCGTTCTCCACCACCTTTTTAGCATTTCCCGGTCCGGCCATGAAGGCGGACATGTCGAACAATCTGTTGTTGACCACGGGAAGTATCTTCATGTGCTGGAGCGCCACGCCAGAGAACTTCCTCATCTTACCAAGCAGCTCCACCCTCTGTCTGGAGCTCATCTTAGTCAGGTCGGCGTCCAGAATCACCGTGAGCACCGTCACCGGCTCCTCGTTGCCACAGACGAACGGCTGGGCCTCGTTGTTGGATGCTGACTGGATCGGGTCGGTGTCAGGGTGCTCATCTGGGTGCACCTCGATGGAGAAGATGTCCTGGCTGCCGTTGGATGTGGAGACGGTGATGTAGTGGACACCTTTGTCCTCCCCCAGCGGTAGACCCTGTAGGACGTTGCTCTTCCAGTCCCAGTGAAGCCATTCTGGTAGCGTCTCCTTGCCTGACTCAGTTATCTGGAAGAAAACAAAGATAAACAGAGTTGATCAGTCTCTTTTGTTTCAATTAATCATTTAAAACAACAACAACATGAAAAATAATACGTTTATGCCCACAACATTTACAATTTCTGTTCTAAAATTCTAATAGTTCGCCTAATTTCAGTTTATGTGACAAAACAAGCAAGTATAGAGCAGAGAACCATTGTATCATCTAAAACGCTGTGAAATATATTTTCCATAACCAAAAATATTGTATTTTCAGTTGTTTGAAGCTTGTGTACAAAACCGAAAGTAAAAGACGCAAAAATTAAGAACGGGAAGCATAGAAATAGCGCACATAGAACAGATCTACCGCTTCTTAGACTTGCTTTCAATGAGAATGACAGATCTATAACTCCCATTTCTATGTGAATTTGGTCAGTCGCCCCCACAAGTTACATATTGCAGCTTTAAATGATTGAGAAGAAAATAATAGGAGACCTTGTTTGTTTTTTATCTTTTGGGTTTATAAATAATAGGAGATCTAGCCAGTTATAACTGTAATGATAAATAGATCTGAAACTTGTATCTCATTATGGTAAATGGTGAAATAAGTATAGCCAGTTATAATTGTAATGGCTTAGCAGATAATAACAAAAGAAGAACAATATTTACATGGCTCAAAGAGAAGGAATATAATATCTATTGTTTACAGGAAACCCATTCAACAATTATAGATGAAGTTGTGTGGAAAAAAGACTGGGGGGGGGGGGGGGGGGGGAAATATACTTCTCCCATTGGCAAAGAAACTCAAAAGGGGTGATGATATTAATTAACAGTAATTTCGATCCGAATGTGCAAATTGTCCAAATAGATACGCAAGGTAGATGGATTATTTTAAATATGTTATTGGACCATAAACAGATATGGCTCATTAACCTTTACGGACCAAATAATGATGATCCACACTTCTTTGACAATATATATGAATAAATTATCAATCCTGCAAGCAATTCAAGACTCTATTATTATGGTGGGAGATTATAATAACGTTTTAAATAGCTCAATGGACCGTAAAGGAAATCACACTACAAACAATCACCCTCACGCTATTAAGGAAATCATGAATGTCATGGATACATTAGAACTAGTAGATATATGGAGGCTTAAATATCCTGATCTAGTGAGATATACATGGCGGAGACTCAATCAAGCAAGTCGTCTTGACTTCATTCTTATGTCATTCTCGTTGGCACCAAAAGTTTAAAAGTGTTGATAGGGGACAGAATGCGGTCGGACCATCATATAACTGGCATATACATTACTCTTACTGAATTTCCACGTGAGCGAGGATATTGGAAATGTAATCAAAGCCTATTGGATGATAACATGTTTTTAACTAGGACAGAATAATTTATAACTGATTTTTTCCGACATAACATAGGTACAGCAAATCCCTTTATTGTATGGGACACCTTTAAATGTGCCTTTAGAGGCCATGCAATTCAGTACTCATCTCGAAAACAAAAGCAATTTAGGTCAAAAGAGTCCACACTAACAAAGGAAATAGAAGGTCTAACAGAACAGATGAATAGCAATAAAAACTGTAACATAGAGGCTCAGAATAAATTAGAGGAAAAACAAAAATAAATGGAGGAACTTAAGAAAGATCAAGTGTAATATATTATAAAAAATTAAGTAAACTGGATGGAATATGAGGAAAAATGCACCAAATTATTTTTTATTCTTCAACATAGGAATGCTACCAAAAATAATTTACTGAAACTGGTTACAAATTACGGAGTCACCCATGATTCACCAAATTATATTTTGAAGGAGGAAACAAAGTACTTTAAGCATATGTGTTCGTTTCAGTCGCCACCATCTCCTCTAACTGAAGCTAATTGTAGAGATTTTTTTTCTACTGACAATGTAAAATTAACAGCCATACAGAAAGACTCACGTGAAGGTGAAATTACAGAGGAGGAACTTCTGGATGCAATTAAATACTTTAAGTCCGGGAGAAAACTCCAGGGTTGGATGGCATACCAGTCCAGGTATACCAAACCTTTTTTTATATACTAAGAGGACCGTTATTAGCGTGTTTTAACCACTCCTATGTAAATGGTAGATTATCAGACACTCAAGAAGAAGGTCTGATTTCATTATTACTGAAACAGGATACAAGTGGAAAATATAAAGATCCTGTCCATTTAAAAAAATTGGAGGCCCCTTACACTTCAGTGTTGTGATAAAAAAATTCTAGCAAAATGTATAGCGCATATAATTAAAAAGGTATTGTCGGACATTGTTCATTCTAATCAGACAGGTTTTTTTTACATGGACAATACATTGGAGATAATATAAGGCAAGTACTGGAAACAATAGAACACTATGAAAAATCTGGGAAACCAGGCCTGCTATTCATAGCAGACTTCGAAAAGGCATTTGATAAAGTACGACTGGCGTTTATATATAAATGCCTGGAGCATTTCAATTTTGGACAATCTCTTATAAATTGGGTTAAAATCATGTATAGTAACCCTAGGTGTAAAATAGTAAATAATGGCTATTTCTCAGAAAGTTTTAAACTGTCAAGAGGAGTAAAACAAGGTTGTCCACTATCGGCATATCTATTTATTATGGCCTTCGATATGTTAGCTATTAAAATCAGATCCAACAATAATATCAAGGGATTAGAAATCCAGGGCTTAAAAACAAAGGTGTCATTGTACGCTGATGATTCATGTTTTCTTTTAAATCCACAACTTGAATCCCTCCACAGCCTCATAGAGGATCTAGATACATTTTCTAACCTCTCTGGATTACAACCAAATTAGGATAGATGTACTATCTTACATATTGGATCACTAAAACATACAATTTTTACATTACCATGTAGTTTACCAATAAAATGGTCTGATGGTGATGTGGATATACTCGGAATACATATCCCAAAGGAAATAAATGATCTCACTCCAATACATTTTAATAGAAAGTTAGCAAAAATAGATAAGATCTTGCTACCATGGAAAGGTAAATACCTGTCAATTTGTGGAAAAATCACCCTTATTAACTATTTAGTGTTATCCCAGTTAACCTATTTGCTTATGGTCTTGCCTACACAAGAGAACAGTTTTGTAAATTATATGAGAAAAAACTATTCCATTTTATTTGGAACGGCAAGCCAGACAAAATTAAACGGGCCTATTTATATAATGAATATGAAGTCGGAGTACAGAAATTATTAAATATTAAATATATAATTAGACCTAGCACTAAAAGCTTCAGTCATACAAAAGTTATAATTAAATCTGAACTTGTTCTCTAGCAAATTAGTAAGATTGTCTCATCCAATGATCAAGAATGGCCTTTTTCCCTTTATTCAGATTACAACCTCTCACTTTCAGTTATTTGAAAAGGAAATAATCTCCCAAATATCACTATTTCTAAAACAAGCCATAGAAAGTTGGTTGCAATTTCAATTGAATCCTCCAGAAACGGCCATAGGGTGGCGCACAATTGGCCCAGCGTCGTCCGGGTTTGGCCGGTGTAGTCCGTCATTGTAAATAAGAATTTGTTCTTAACTGACTTGCCTAGTTAAATAAAGGTAAAATAAATAAATAAATAAAATAAAATACTAATCGATAAAAAATTGACAAAATGTTTAAAAAAGGTATAATCTTCGTAAATGATATAGGTAGGACTGGTGGAGTTATGTCGCACATGCAGCTAACAAAAACATATGGAAATGTCTGCTCTACCAAAAATTACAACCAAATAATAGCAGCATTACCGCAAAAATGGAAAAGGAAAGTGGAAGGAGGAAAAAGTAAGGAACTTGTCTGTCGGCCTTGCATTAAAGAATATAATTGGTTAAAGAAAATTGTGATAAATAAAAAAGTATACCAGTTTCATTTAAGGACCAAAGGATTGACAGCCGTCCCATACAGATTGCAAAATAGTTCGGAAGAGATTTTTGACGTACCGATTCCATGGCATAGTGTTTATGAACTGATACGCAAAATGACGCCGGATTCAAAACGTATAATTTTTCAATTTAAATTATTATATACAATTCTTGCTACCAATAGATTGTTATTTATATGGGGGATACAATCTTCCCAGCTCTGCAGATTTTGCTGCAAAGAGATAGAATCATTAGATCATTTGTTTTGGTACTGTCCATTTGTAGCTTGTTTTTGGACACAGGTCCAGGAATGGCTAAAGGATTGCAATATTTACCTGGAGCTAACCCTGCAGATAGCATTACTGGGTGATCTGATAAGTCATAGTCAATCGATCAATAATATAATAATACTTTTAGCAAAAATGTTTATTTTCAATTTACAATCTGTAGAAACAATGAGAATAGAAAGGTTCAGAACTTTTGTAAAACATCACAGTACAGTTGAAAAATATATGGCAAACAGAAATCCAATATGGATGGTGTTAAGAGATAGATGGGTGGTGTTGAATGAAGTTGAAGGATGGGACTAATAACAACTAACAACAACTAATAACAACAAGATAACTAATAATGTAAAGCATACTGTGTCCATAATAAGTATATAGGTTATAGGTTGAGAGCTTTTGTGAAAGATCACAGTTAGAAAGATATGGCATATAGAAGCAAACCGGATGGACATCATGAAAATGATCAGAGAGGTTGAGAGTAGAGGACGTTCAGGAGTAAAAACAAACTAAATAGAATTATTGTAAAATTGACTGTGTCCATAAAATTTATATAGTATGTATAAGCTGGAAGTAGAGGCCTAAGCATTGTTGTTCACTAGTTTACTCCAATTAGGGAAGAGGTGGTGGGGTTGGAAAGTATATATATATATATATATATATATATATATATATATATATATATATATATATATATATATATATATACACACAGTGAGGAGAACAAGAATTTGATACACTGCTGATTTTGCAGGTTTTCCTACTTACAAAGCATGTAGAGGTCTGTAATTTTTATCATAGGTACACTTCAACTGTGAGAGACGGAATCTAAAACAAAAATCCAGAAAATCACATTGTATGATTTTTTAGTAATTCATTTGCATTTTATTGCATGACATAAGTATTTGATACATCAGAAAAGCAGAACTTAATATTTGGTACAGAAACCTTTGTTTGCAATTACAGAGATCATACGTTTCCTGTAGGTCTTGACCAGGTTTGCACACACTGCAGCAGGGATTTTGGCCCACTCCTCCATACAGACCTTCTCCAGATCCTTCAGGTTTCGGGGCTGTCGCTGGGCAATACGGACTTTCAGCTCCCTCCAAAGATTGTCTATTGGGTTCAGGTCTGGAGACTGGCTAGGCCACACCAGGACCTTGAGATGCTTCTTACGGAGCCACTCCTTAGTTGCCCTGGCTGTGTGTTTCAGGTCGTTGTCATGCTGGAAGACCCAGCCACGACCCATCTTCAATGCTCTTACTGAGGGAAGGAGGTTGTTGGCCAAGATCTCGCGATACATGGTCCGATCCATCCTCCCCTCAATACGGTGCAGTCGTCCTGTCCCCTTTGCAGAAAAGCATCCCCAAAGAATGCACCTCCATGCTTCACAGTTGGGATGGTGTTCTTGGGATTGTACTCATCCTTCTTCTTCCTCCAAACACGACGTGTTGAGTTTTTACCCAAAAGTTCTAGTTTGGTTTCATCTGACCATATGACATTCTCCCAATCCTCTTCTGGATCATCCAAATGCACTCTAGCAAACTTCAGACGGGCCTGGACATGTACTGGCTTAAGCAGGGGGACACGTCTGGCACTGCAGGATTTGAGTCCCTGGTGGCGTAGTGTGTTACTGATGGTAGGCTTTGTTACTCTGGTCCCAGCTCTCTGCAGGTCATTCACTAGGTCCCCCCGTGTGGTTCTGGGATTTTTGCTCACCGTTCTTGTGATCATTTTGACTCCACGGGGTGAGATCTTGCGTGGAGCCCCAGATCGAGGGAGATTATCAGTGGTCTTTTGTGTCTTCCATTTCCTAATAATTGCTCCCACAGTTGATTTCTTCAAACCAAGCTGCTTACCTATTGCAGATTCAGTCTTCCCAGCCTGGTGCAGGTCTACAATTTTGTTTCTGGTGTCCTTTGACAGCTCTTTGGTCTTGGCCATAGTGGAGTTTGGAGTGTGACTGTTTGAGGTTGTGGACAGGTGTCTTTTATACTGATAACAAGTTCAAACAGGTGCCATTAATACAGGTAACGAGTGGAGGACAGAGGAGCCTCTTAAAGAAGAAGTTACAGGTCTGTGAGAGCCAGAAATCTTGCTTGTTTGTAGGTGACCAAATACTTATTTTCCACCATAATTTGCAAATAAATTCATTAAAAATCCTACAATGTGATTTTCTGGATTTTTTTTCCTCAATTTGTCTGTCATAGTTGACGTGTACCTATAATGAAAATTACAGTCCTCTCTCATCTTTTTAAGTGGGAGAACTTGCACAATTGGTGGCTGACTAAATACTTTTTTCCCCCACTGTATATATTTGCGAGAGAAAAAAACATATGGGGGATTGGAAGTGATGCAGACAATTACATTGATGGAAGTTACAATCCATCTGCAATATTAAAGCTGATCTACCCCCTAAAAAAATAAAAGAATAATGCTTGTTTTTTATCTTTTGAGTTTATAAATAAGATTGAGTGAAAAACTGGCACTAAAATCTTTTTAAAACAGCTAGGTAATCATTATACATTTTGTACAAAGCTGCTAATGGTGATTTTCTTCACACAATTTCAAGTCTCTGTTAGATTAGTGCAGGTTTCTCGATACGGTTAAAGGTGATATAGATTGAACGATTCACAAGATACAATCAATTTTACACAATTCAAATATGCCGAATATCGAATTTAGACATTGGTGCATGAGGCCTCTCAGCCTATTATTTAGAGCGTGGGTCTAAAATGGCTACAACAAGGGATGTGCATCAAGGAGTTTCTTCAACGTGGGGTTTCTTCAACATGGGGTTTCTGCCATCTTTTTTAATACAGTTAACATAATAACTTATAAGATTCCAAGTGGATGACGGAGAAATGCATCACAAGGGGATTGACAATGCATTCAAATAAATCCCCAAAACAACCACTAATGCGTCCTCTGCTTCCCAACAAGTAAATTTTGCGGCTGATAATAGTTGATCAATTATTTAGATACCGGCGCTCCCTAGATGGATCAATCATGGTCTACCAGTACACAGCCATCACCAGGGGAAGACTGGAAACAGCATCTGGGCTTTTTACAGCATTCAGTCACTCAGCCTCCGAGCTTTTTAGAATCACTCCCCACAACCCCCCCCCCCCCCCCCCCCCCCTAGCGCACACACACACACACACGCACACACACACACACACACCAT